AACATTGTTTTTAAAGGCTACATCAAAAAAAGCAAAGAAACATACGGTGTTTCATTAAAAAAAACACAAGCTTGTATCGTAACTTATTTTTGGGACATGCTGTATGGTTGAAAATAATTTTGGGTGTTGCACTAGATTAGTATCTATCCTATACTATTTTTAAATTTTACCATTTAAAGGTCATTAATGGACTTTTTCAACTCGCTGGGACAGCCTGTATAAAAAAATCGACAAAAATTAAATAAAATGTAGATAATTGTGATCCTTAAATCATAGCCTCTGCAAAAAAATATCAATTATGTAGTTTTTTTTTTAATAAATAATGTAAGCAAAAAACGTTTGGTCCCATACTTTTTATTCACCCTGTATATGTATATAATTTTACAAAATCACAAGTTATTCTAAGATGAAAAAATGCTGATTCGTCGAGACGTTTCTTTGATCTTTTTCGGTGATGTCATTTCCGACAAAAGTGTAATAAAATACGATAGTGACGACATTAATGATAGCACAATATCCGCAAAATAGATCCGAGAGTAGTTTTATTATTATTGTGTTGGTCTAGTTGGGTTAGTAATTTTCGGTTTCACCGGAAGTGAAACAAATTCTATTTTTGCACAAGAGACAGAAAGGGTTTCGAAATATTTTTAGAAGAAAACAAAATCGTAATTTGTAATGTTGAAAATGCAAAAACCAAGTTAAAAAACTGTACCTACAGTGTTAGCGATATTTTTAAAATATTACATACTAAACAACTTTATTCAAACTAAGGTCTTGACTAATAAATAATAAAATCCTGCAATTATGTAGTAATAAAAATCACAAATTTGCTGTTTAATGTGGACAAACTGGCTTATAGATGAATTTAAAACATCGTAAAATAGAAAAATAGGTGGGAATTTTATAAAAAAAAAACTTACAAAATTATGCAGTATAAATATGAAATATGAAAATTCAACGTACAAACGTTGAAACTACAAGAAAAAGTATAATAAAAGCTATAATAACAAAAAAAATCATCACCTTCAGTAGGTATTTAAAAAAATTAAAAAATCATATAAAAAACTAAAAACTTAGATAGTTTTTTAAATGTTAAAATGACGCCTTTAGCAGTGTTACCAACCTATAAAAAATGTTCTGAAAAAAATACTGTCTAAAAACAAAACAGAATATCAAAACTTATTCTTTTTTTGTTAGGTATTTTGCTACTTAACAAAGCTACCACTTTTACTAAGTTACTACTTTTATTATTAACAAAGTCAAAAATATAACCAGTGATTTTTCAAATTTTATTAAAATACTGTTTGTAAACAAAACTTTTTTGATATTTTTAAATAATATTTCTAAAAAATCAATGTAATTACATTACATTTCTATTTTGCAAAACTAAAACCATCGGAAAAGAGTCAAAAATATTAATTAGATAATCAAAATACAGGAGGTTAAGAAACGAGTTCAGATGTTTCATAAAGACAGAACAACAACTAAGTAAAACAATAAAACGTTTCGTTAAAATTAATTTTGATAAAAAAATCTTTGAAACCACATTTTTTCATTTTTTCAGTTTTAAATTTTTATAAAATCGAAAAATTCACAAAAAGTTTAAATGTTAACAGTGTAATGAGAGGCCAAGATTATTATGAAATTTCTAAAATTATTTTACATTAAACAGGACTTCAAAACAATTGAAAAAAATCATCAAAAATCCACAATTCGTTAAATCGAAATTTATAAAGTCAATAAAATCAAATAGAACCTTGAAGAAAAGTAAACAAATAATAAAAATCAAAATAATATACCTATTAATCTGCTATATAAAACAATTTTAATCAAAAAGAATAGAATTTACAATTTAGTAATTGCACAAATTAACGCAGTACCTATAATTCCTTCTCATAATAAAAAAAATAAACAAATATTGTTAAAAACGTAAAAAAAATAAATAAATGAAACTTAATTAGGTACAAAAAATAAAACTTATGAATTCTCATATTCTCATTCTCATATTTCTATATTTTTCAATGTTGCCAACTTAACAACTCACAGGTGAAATTAATTAACTATTCGTGATTTAAATTCTCAAAAATTCAAAAAAACAGCAAAAACCGTCTCCGTTTCTTACGTTTAATTTTTATTTTTTTACTATTTTTAGTTTCTCAAATAAGATAAAAAAAATCTATAAAACTTTTATCTCTAAACCCCCAAATAAATTATTATCGACACCACAAGACAAATTTTTATCGTTTGTATTTCAAATTGAAATTTCTATTTTAATAAAAGTGTAAAATTTGAAAATACTTTTCTATAAATAAATCAGTCAAAAAATTGTAAATACGTTCGTCGGCCACCAAACTGACATTTCCGATTTTTCCTCTACCCACACACCATCAAATTAGACGCAATTTAATTAATTATAATTAGCAAAAATTATCCCAATCATTGGAAAAAATCACAACACGGGTAAACAAAAAACCAATCATTTCAGAGCCTGCTTTGACCGTTTTTAAACTGTAAATAATTTTTCATCTCGGTAGGCTTTGCACAGCGTCGAGTCGTCGACAAAATGTCGGCCAACACAGCTTTGTACAAAACTCACCATTTTTTCACCTCTTGTTTAAAATTTCTAAAAAACCGCATCGTCTTTGATTAAAAAGTACCAAAAAAACTCATTTTTACTCTTTGTCTCTTCCTCTCTCTCTCTCTCTCACGTGCAATTATTAGCTTGCTTTCATTTTTTTTTTATTTTGTAATTTTGATATTCTCCGGGTTGCTGGCCTACTTGATCCGTTCGAGTGATTCGTTTACGGAGGTGTAATTAATTGAATTTGAAGCGAGAAACAACGAAACGATACAACAAAATGGCCGACGCGTATTTTTAGTGTGTGAGTGGACGAGAAAAATTTTTATTTTTAAAATGAACCCACTTTTAAGACGAAAACAAATGAATTACGTTTCAAAACAACAATTTTAAGTAAGTTATGACGTAACAAAATTCGAAAATCGGGTAGTTTGTTGTCGTCGGATTGGCATTACTCATAGCCGCCTCTGCGACAACTAGTAATAAAATCTTAATAACCAATTGTGCACAATATCAAATGAGCGAAATTCTAAAAATAAAATTGGTCAAATGACACACTGATCTTGTTTAAAAAAAAAACGTCTCTATGCTTAATTGGGAAAGAAAAATTGTTCAATTTTCAAGTTTTTGATTCATTTTCAAGCTTCAATAGTCGCAATTTTGATCGATCTTTCAATGAAATATAAATAACCAATCATAAAATATTTAAGAGACTTGAAATGAGGACAAGTTCCATAACAAATGCCACTTTAAAATATTAAAACGGAAGCGACATTATAGAATATAGAATTATTTTCAAATAATAGCAAAGTTAAAATACGTGTTTCAGTGCCGAAGTAAGTCATTTAAATATGTAATGAAATTATCTTTCAATGTTGGTGCCGACGTCAAACGTTAAAATACCCTAAAATAAAAACGATATCCAGAAAAAGCAGCAAAAACTTGTTTCTTTCTTTCATTGTTTTTGTTGTATGGATGGTAATAGTGTTACTAATTACCTACTAGCAGTGCTACCAACCGTTAAAATGCTCAACACAATATCGCCTAAAACAAAGCAAAACGCAGCTTTTTTAATAACTAAAAAAAAAGAATTACAAGAAATTGATTATTTTTAACTTGTGCAGTTGTATTTTTTGTAATGTTAAGTAGTTAATCATTAAAATGCGCTAAAAAGAAATTACTACACCCAAAAAAAGAATGAAACATAACTAAATCCTTTTTTGATAAATTATTAAATTAATATAGCAAAAAATCAATTTTTTAATACAACAATTGTAACTTTTCCTCCCTTGTCGAGGGTAGTAACCACCCAGGGAGGAAAAAATATTTTTCTCCAACCCAATACATAAATTTTCCTACGACCAAGCTAGAAAAACTGTTTTTCCGTTTCTATGGGGAGTAAAAGTTTTACCTCCCTGAGAGGTTACATATATTTTTATGATAATTTTGACAGATGAGGGAGGTAACATTTCTACCTCCCTGGAAGATAATTGGCCACTTTCGTTTCTGAAATTAGGCTGAAAAAACACACTTTCTGATATTAGGGAAATATATTTTTCAATTAGTAGAACCATTTGCCAATACTACCAACCAATAAAAATGTCTTTAAAACGCTAACTTTGATCAAATTTGACCAAAATATTGTCTGTAAACATTAAACAGAGCTCTTTTGATAAGTAAGTTATGTATTAAAATTTATAAATAAAATAACAATTTTAAGGCGATTTCGTTACTTTTCCATGTTTTGCAATAGAGAAAGAATCATTGAGACAAAAATTTAAGACAGTGAAGTAAAAAAAATTGAACATAAAAATACACAATCAACAAAATTAGATTTTTAGTATATTTTTACGACCTCTTGGGCCAAAAACCCTTCAACAATTAAATTTTCAAAACTTGTTTCTCGTGCATCAATGTTTTTCTAAAAAATTTCTGAATTTCCTGTATAACATCATTAAGTTCGTATTTGATGAGTGATAACAAAAATTCAAAGTTGTGTACTATGTAGTGAAAGCATAAAAAAATTTAAAGCAATAAAACCATTAAAATAGTGATAATTAGTCTTGGAAAAAACGAATTTTGCAGAAATTTCGTCATTTAGAGCTCAAACAACCCGTAATTAGTGCGTAATCAAATTCAAATAAAGAAATGGCACAATTAGGGATTTTGGAGTTAAAAATCTTAATTTTAATTCTTCTGCTTGTTAGCAACCGTAATTAATATTGGAAATTTCGCTACTTTGAGTCAATTGGGTTAGAAAATTGGTGTTTTTTGTTACTTGGCGTAGCGTTTTAGCGACGGGTCTTGACATGACCACCTCTGTTGTTTGCAAAATTTTTAACATCGTTCTTGCTGCCAACTTGGAATAGCAAAAATCCTTACTTTTTTTGATTCGTTTGTCGGTTTTGTGGGGGCTACTCACCTATGATTCTGGGGTTGTCTTTGCGAATATGACATTGTCGGAGTTTGTACAGGCCCATGTTCAATTCTCACGGAATGTATTTCCATATCATATACATTTACGCCGAAAAACTCGTGATTTTCTCAATTCATGAACACACTGTATAACCGCCACTGTATTGTTTGGCCCCCACTGATTTCACTCTGCCCCCCATTCTACACGCACTCAAACACTGGAAATTGGGAAAAACCACCCCCGATTACATGGTATGCCAGGCCACCTCGATCGCAACGGAGAAAGTAGCTGGCGCGCGCTTGGCCACGTATGTAGCGACGAAGGGCCCCCCGGGTGTCTCAACGCACATGAATCGAGGAACAGACACCAATTTTGGGCGAATTTCTAGGGACAAAACGCGTTTTCCGGGGGGCGAAACGTGGCCGATCGTCGATTGTTGACGCAGGGTGGTTGACACACACGCACTTGATTGAGAGAGAAATAACGAAAAACACAGCACGGGGTGGGTTAATTCGAACCGAATTTAGATTTTTAACACTGGGAACACTATTCTATAATATAGATACCGCCATAACCCGACATCTTGGTTAAACTTCGAAGCTGAAACGAAAACAGGTCCGGATGAGTCGATCTTTTCCAAAGGGGAGGACGCATACTACAAGCGAGATGAAGCTAGACGCGGGTCGAGGCTAGCTCAGACGTCCCAACTTCTATCTCACTACGGGTAAAAATCATCAAATTGGGAGCCAACCACATTAATTTAGCCCACAATCAATCACAAATACCTCGAATTAGACACTAGTTGTACAATTGGGCGAGAGTTGAACCCGAAATTGGCCAAAAGTAAAGCCAAATGTCAAACACAACAAAGCAAAGTATGTCGTGACTCACACCGGACACACAATACGGTTTAGTGTATTCCGGTTTCATTTTTACCCGTACCAACAGTGAGTAAGAGAAAGATGGGCGCTTTTAGACTGTTATATTAAAGGGGATATGCCAACACGACGACGAAAAAATTACAGCTTAAATTTTACTAGGTTTTCTTCCAAAATAACAACAATGTTACATGTTGGTACGCCTGTCCCAAATCCGAATAAGATAAATCTAGAAATACCACCACAAGGCCTCAAATTTAAAAAGCCCCGAAAATTCAAGAAAAACAAATGAAAAAAGTGTTGCCATGGCCGCCTTATCGATCGACGGTCAGAAATAGACGTATTATTTAAAAATTGAAATTATTAGTCACGTGACGACCGTCGGGTTGAAAATGATCAAAATAAACAAGTCGGCCGTGAAAGAAAAATTATAGGAATCGATTTTATCGATAAGCACCCCCGAAGGAGCGACGTGTCAATGACTTGCAAAATAGGCGACTGTGTTACAATTTGAGACAGGTTCATGAACGGGAAGTTGGACAACAGCGCAATTCGTGCAATAGGTGACTTGCAAAGAGCGGACCTTCAGCCGGCCCCACAATTTTTATTTGGGGGCCCCATGAGCAGTCTAGAGTAATCTGAGACAACTCTGGAACCCCCTTGACTCACACCTTGAAGTTGAAGCCCCAAGTTTGGACCAAAAACAATAACAAAAGGAGAGAACGAAACTACACGACTTGACCCGAACGCAGTCCGATCGTGTCATGTCGCCCAGATATATCGATTTTGCTTTATATCCCAAACAGTGTTGCCACGTTTATTCATTCTCAAAATAAAATAACACAACTATAAATTTTTCCTCGCTGCTATCATATTTTTCCGTGCCCTTTTGAATGCTTGTAACACTTGTTCCACACTTTTGACCAAACTCGACGAGTTCAATTTTTCAAAAATTTCCAAATTTTCTTCTGAATTTTCTTTGTATTTATCCAGAAACGCCTGACTTTGGTGGACGACATGAACACTCACACTAATCAGACCAGTACCAACCGTATTAGTCCCATATTTATTCAAAACTGATCCCTGGAAAAAATCCCTAGATTTAGTAAAATTTCATTTTGTCCAACTCACATCATAATATTTCGGTAAGCCGACCCAAGTCAAGTCGCCATAACTCGAACAATCCCCGATAAAAAACCGGCGTAACTGACCGGAAATCCCGTGTGGAATTAACCGGAAACATTGCAGGTTAAACTGGTAATTCCCCGGTTTGGCTACCGGTAACGCCTTATAAGTCAGCCCTTCGGTCCTGTAGCGACTCCAAGTGTCTTTCGAAATAACCTCAAAATAGATATAGGGACAATTGGGAATGCCCTTTTTGGCCAAATCCTCTATATTGTACTCTAACATAACCTCAAAAACGTGTCCAAAGTGGGCCAAACCCTCATCCCCACTGACGTGACACGTTTGCGTGATGCCCTGGAGCTGCGATTGGTCACTCACAGACCAATCAGACGGCAAGTCGATAAAATATTGGACGTAGATTGGTCCATACTCAAAATATCGCGCCCATAAGACTTCCATGAACAAATGAACGGCGAGCTTATTTTTGTCGGGAAGTTTAAAATTTAAACACTTCAAAAATTCGGTTTTGTGACCATTTATCTGTAAAAAAAAGTATCAAAAAATTTCAATTTAGAGTCAAGTTGGCGGTCGCACTTTTCGAATTAGTTCTTTTTCCCGGAGATAAACATCTTCAGGTATTTGGGTCGAAACGTTTTCAAGGAAATATTGATATTTTCGGATTGTAGTGCCCTCGAGTCGGATCAAGTATGGCTGGGATTTGGTAAAGTCGGGATAAATTGATAATATTTTGTACTTTCGGTCATATTTAACGACACATAAGACTTTTTCCTCCCTAAGCCACGTCGAATCGATGTATTCGCTGCGACAAAATTGGTTTATTGACAATTGGACGATTCCGGGGATTTACCCAAGGTCCGCCATGATGAACATAACCTCAAATTCGTATTTATGACCAATGGGATTTCGGACTGCTGCTCGTATCGACTCGCCATAGTCGAACTCCTGACTATTTTCGTCGCACTTTTCGCGGAAATAATCATTAATTTCGTGTTTTAGAACAAAATCATCGTCATTCGTGTACGAAAATAGGTCAAATTTCGCATCCGCATGAGACTCCTTGACATCCAAATGGTACTTTTTTTCTAAATCTGTAATACAGTTTTTTTCATCCTTGTAGTACTCCCTTTCTGATTTGCTGAAACATTTCTGTTGCCAAGCGAACACTTTCTGTTCCCATCCGTCCGAATTATCACCAGTTAAATTCCCCACTTGGCGCAACTTCACTCTGTACCAACCTTGAACTTTAATTGTGTAAATAGTTTCTTTACTTACCTTATTTTCAAGTTGGTGATGTCATCCGAGCACCTGTAAATTGCCGTGTATTTGACCAAAGTCTCGGTCTGAGTCATTTCGAGCGTTTTTCTAATGAATCACAACAATGACGTTAGCCGCGCGCCATTTTTCAAACCAGACCAACACGAAATTCCCCCAGTTGGCCGAAAAGTTACCAAAACATAACCGTGTTAAATTAACTCTGATAAGTAACAAAACAATTGTGATAATGTGATAAAATGTAGTTAACACAGTTAGTATTATTTCGTACGCAAAATAGTGATTTCTGTGCTAGTTTGAGGAGGGGCAGTTGAGGTTATGTTACCATGTCTCGAGAGACCAACTCGGAGACTCCGCTCCAAGCCAGGCGCAAAAACGAGTATTACCGCAGCATTTTCAACAAAGTGAGCCCCCACAAATTTGATAATAATTAATAAAAAAATGATTTTAGTATGACCGGGACCATGACGGTTTTATCAACGTTGGGGAGCTGAATGACTTGATTGAGAGCCGGGAATATGACCACGATATTCCAGAACATGTCGTCCGGAAAATCCACCAAATGGCCGACCAAAATCACGACGACAGAATTGATTTTTCGGAATTTGTTGAAATGATCAACCACCCGGACTTCCAGTTCGTTTTTGGACACTATGTCAACAGATACATCCAAATGGTGGTGCCCCGAAGACGGGGCGCTAGTGAAGTCGACGGGGTGTACGATGACCAGTACTCCTGTTACCCCCCGGCTGTCGGCATGATCATTATTTCGCTAATTGAGGTTATATTTTTCTGTGTGGATGAGACAATTGAGGCAGACTCGACCAAATCGGCCTCGGGCCCCATCAGTTCTGTGTTTATTTATGATCCGTATAAAAGACAGGAGGCTTGGAGGTTTATCACTTATATGTTTGTCCACGTTGGGTAATTTAATTTAATTTAATTACACAAATTTTTTATAATTTCTAATTTCAGGGCTTTTCATTTATTCGTCAATCTTTTGGTGCAAATCCTACTGGGGACCCCTCTAGAAATGGTGCACAGGTGGTGGCGAGTCTTACTCATCTACTTCGCGGGGGTCCTCGCTGGGTCTCTTGCAACCTCAATCGCGGATCCCACTGTGAGACTTGCGGGGGCCAGCGGTGGGGTCTACTCCCTCATCACAGCCCATATAGCCACCATAATCATGAATTGGAGAGAAATGTCTTTCCCCATTGTCCAATTATTTATTTTTTTGATAATCATGGCGTCTGATATTGGGACGGCTATCTACAACCGGTATTTCCTCGAAATGGACGAACATATTGGTTACATGGCACACTTTGCGGGGGCTCTCGCTGGCCTTTTAGTGGGGCTCAATGTCTTACGGAACTTGGAAGTGACAACGGCAGAAAGGGTTATTTGGTGGGTTTCAATAGTGACATATTGCGTGCTAATGGCAATTGCAATTATCTGGAATTTCGCCTGGCCAGAGTATTTTTTGAAAATTCGGGAACGGAATTGAGGTTAAGTGCGGAAAATCACACAAAAATGCGACAGTTTTAGTATTTTTTTATTTTTAAGTACGGATTAGGTACAAAGAGACCAGTATTGTAGCTAGAGATTGATTTTTCGTATTATTATTGTTTCTACATAAAGTGAGGTTATGTCATCAAATAACAACAAAATATTTTATTTAAGCGTCTTGCGATGACTAAAACAGACCTGTAATCGCGTTTTAAACCTATAGTATTAAGTTGAGTCGCCCCGTAATGTTATTTGTGTAAAAACCTCGCTAAAATTGAAAGTGAGGTTATGTTTGACAATCCACGAAAAATACTAATTGTAGAAATTGCGGTGCCTTTCTAGCACAAAACGCCCAATATTTTTATATTCTACTTTATTACGTCCAAATATTTACAATAAAAGACTTGTTTGCATAAGTAAATAATTGAACATAAAACCATAACCCCCCAAATCCAGTCATACGGGGGTTCCAAAAAACGTACCCTGATCCGATATTTTGTCACTGCGATGCTTTTTAGCCTTTTAACGTAAAATCAATACAAGAAAATGTGAGGTTAAGTCGTAAAAATGTCACAAAGTGCCCCTTTCAAGACCCAGATCCAGCTCCAATCGATCAGTATTTACAATACTAGTCCCATTTTTTAAGGTAAGCTACCCTAGGGAGTCACAATTGTCTAAAACTTATTAAAATCTAAAAGTAAGGTTATGTGTACTCGCCGGTGGTAAAAATGTTTTATTACGGCAAATTAATTACAAAAGTGGATAATTAAGCATAACATCCTGTCGGGCCAACTCTAATAACATCGGATCGTCGAAAAATTTATTAATCGAGACATCCTGACTCAAGCCTTTCCGTCTCCTTGTCTTTATCATGAATTCCCGGGCCAAATGCGTGGCCGGTTGGGGCTCCAAAGGCCTTATCACTATACTCTTATCTAAGGGATCCCCCGGAACGATTTGCCAATGATGAAACACCGACAAACAGAAGGCTTGTCCTTGCGTATGCGTCCTCAAATCGGTCTCAAATCCGAAACTATCAATCGCAGGTATAAAAGCCTTGATTGTGTAAAGTGGTGATCCGGGAACGGGGGCGTCTTGTGTGACATGTCCTCGTCTTTTGGCCAACACTGTGTAAACCGCTGAGACACAATCTGCTGGGGCTTGCACCTCGACGAATAAATAGGGCTCCATGAGTCTCGGTGTAGCCATCAAAAACGCCGAATAGACGACACGTCGCGCCGTTGGGATGATTTGCCCTCCGCCCCTGTGCAAGGGTTCATTCGCAATTACCGCATCCAGGATTTTAAACTTGGTGTTTCGGATCGGCTCTTCGCACAAAGGCCCCTCACGGGTGCCCCATTGGAAGCCTTGCACGATGGAGTCTTTCACGGAGCTCAACAGCCCCTTATCGACTTCGGACGGGAGTGTGTCATCGACTAAAATATTGGGGCCTGTGTTGTCAGGGCCAAAAGCCCAAATACTCCGAGCTGCGAGTAAATCCCAATCGTATTTTGTTTGGAAAAACTCGCCTAACTTTTTCTTATTCCATACGATTTGGACATTTTCATTTTCAATGTCCTCAGCAAGGCCCTTCTCCAAAGGCTCCGCAATCATTGTCAGTTTATTTTTTTTATTGGGGGTTTCAGCGAAGCATTTTAGACTCGACGTTTCCACCACTGTCTCGCAGAAAGCAACGACGGGGTCTGCGACCTTAATGTCGATTTCTGAGTACATTTTTCGCAAGTCGTGCATGACACAATCTAGGTACAACTCCCCGGTGCCTAGAACCACGTGTTCGCCTGATTCCTCCACCCTAGTGGTCAACAAAGGGTAAGATTTGTTGACTTTTCGGAGACCATCGAGCATTTTCGGGAGTTCCGAGGGGTTGACAGGCTCCACAGCGATTTTTATAATACTCTGAGTGTTGAATTTAAGGGGGCGAAAAATGTACAAGTCTTCGTAGATCGTCAAGTCCGTTATGGTGGCTGTTTTTACGATTGATTGGTCGATGCCCTCGATTAGGACCCAATTGCCGGCTGGGACACGGTTTAGCTCGATTTTGTATCTGGAATTTTCAATAAGACATCCTGTGAGAGATATTTTTAGAATTTTTCAAAGTCAAGACGTAGTAAACAACTCGTTATCATTAATTCATTAGTCGAGGTCATGGAACTTATCATTAGATAACGGCCTTGAGGCTAAACGAGATTTTACAACTTGTTGGTTACCTCATTTGTCGCGTTTTTTGCGGTGTTGGGACCGAGAGAGACGGAAAAAATTATGCTTAACAAATCTGATAAGGAGTTAATGCGTTTTTTATTATTATTTTTGATGGGGGAATGAATGGTAAACATTACGACGGCTATGACAAGCAGATGCTTATCAATTAATCAGACAAGTTGTAATTTAGATTAAAAAAAAGGAAAAAATAATACCTAATTAATAAATAATAGGTACATATTTAGTAACCACAGAGGGCTAAAATTTTGACGTGTGGAAATTACTGACCATGCGAACTATCCCTATACCCTTATAAAAAAGAAAAAATTCAAGTAAGATAAGATACCAAGAACTTTTTTTTTTAATTCTGTCAAAAAATTTGACATTTATTTTTTGACTTTTGACATTTTATTAGGTCTATTTAAAGACCCTTATTCTCTAATTTTTCGTTCGTGAACGATTTCGTTAATGAACGAATGGGTTTTAACGAATGTTGTAACGAATTTCGTATTCCGTAACCTTACGTTAAGGGAACGATCTTTCACATTTTTTCAACAAAAATTCAATGTTTTTAATTCTCTAGTATTTATTCAAAAACGTCATTAATGTCACAATGTAAGTTTATTAAAGTTTAAAAAGGGTTTGCATCGACAAAAAGAAGAAGAAATCTTAAACAACGATTCAACAATTTGAGCTACATTTGAATTTGTAGCGGTGAAACCCATTGCTCTAGAAAAAGCATGGAAAAAATTAATAATGAATTTAATGCTTGTGGTGGTTCTGTAAAAGACATAGCTGAGTAGAAAAAAAAAATCTGTCTTTAAATAAATATACAGGGTGCGCCAGAACTTGCGCCCCAGAGAAAATTTTCAAGTAAGGTAAGATACCAGGAACATGAAAAAAATGTTAAAAAAATTCTATCTGCCAAAAAATTTTGACATTTATTTTTTGACATTTGACATTTTTTTATATCCATTTAACGATATTGACCATTTTGTATATGTTTTTTTTATAATTATTTAATAAAGGGACAAAAATTTTGCCAATAAAAGCCACAAATAACATTGAACAGAGTTACAATTTAGGATACAGCTTCCTTGTTTCCTCTTTTAATAGCCTATAGCAAAAAAGCTTGTAAAAATATTTTTCCAACAGAAATAAATAGAGTCAAAGTGCAAACTTTAAGCCCTCATAACTTCAAAATTTTTATAGATAACATTTTTTTAACATTTTTTCCATGTTCCTGGTATCTTACCTTATACGACATTTTTCTCTGGGGCGCGAGTTCTGGCGCATCCTGTATAATGTAAAAAACAAATATTTTTATTTAACAAGAACATAAGTTTCAACCACACACTCCATTAACATGGACTATGGGTGATGTTGTACTAGTGAAACGTTGTCCATTTTTCAAAAAACTTGAATTTTAAGAAAAAAAAAATCATGTACTAGACAGAGCTCTTGTAAATCTAAACATCCTTTAAAATAATTATTCAAACGTATTAAAAGGATTGTTAACGGCTTTTAATTTTTATATTAGCAGCTTGGAATTAAAATTTTGGGCAGTATCTTCTGTCACGTTAAAATGTTTGTCACGTTAAAAAGTTCACTGTAAATTGTTATTGTATTGCTAATTGTAAATTGTTGTTAAAATTGTTAATTAAATGTCTTAGGAAATTTATTAATTGAACTAAGTGTAATTAAATCATCGCTTTGAATTGCTGCCTACCAGTTATTATGCCACAAATAAGTCAAAATGACATAAACAAAACAAGAGTAAAAAATGAGGTTATTAATGTAAAAGTTGTTTCAGAGTTTAAATTATGAAAATGACAATACTGCCCGAAATTTTAATTCCGCAACCGTTCGTACATTTGTAGAAATGTACAAGTATAATAGAAAAATCAACAATATAATACATAAACAATGTTTTCAATTCTACGAGAAAATAATCCAAAATATGACCCATATTTCATAAAAACTCACAAATCAGTTACCAAAATATTAATTCGTTGAGTCAACGACAACCTATTGAACTCTCATTCGTCAACGACAAATTTTAACGAAATTATCGGTAGGCAACGAAAGTAAATAGTTTATTACAGAATACGAAAATTCGTTTCCCCACGAAAATCGTTCACTAACAATATCGTTCAGAGGTACAGAATAAGGGTCTTAATGATACTGATGATCTTGTATATATTTTTTATAATTATTTACTAAAGGTACAAATATTTTGCCAATAAAAGCCATAAATAAAATTAGACAAAGTTACAATTTAGGATACAGCTTTCTTGTTTCCTCTTCTAATAGCCTGCAGCAAAAAAAAACATGGAAAATTATTTTTCCAACAGAAATAAATAAAGTCAAAGTGCAAAATTTAAACTCTCATAACTTCAAAATTTTTATAGATAGAATTTTTTCAATATTTTTTCCATGTTCCTGGCATTGTATATTACATGACATTTTTCTCTAAGGCGCAAGTTTTGCACCCTATATTTTTGAGAACGCTGCGAATACAGTGGAAGAGACAAAAAAAAGTGTAAGAAACAAAGTTGTAGAGAATTTCCTACAAAAAAGGCCGTAACTCGAAACTTTCATATTCAACGGTTTAGGTTTAAAGTTTATTGCTTTAAAGTGTTCCCCCGACACTCAATCAACGAAAAATATTAAACAAATCCGACGCTTGAGAGGCTTTGAACGTCTTTGGGGCCTAAACTGTTAAACTTTCTTTCTTATTTGTTTTTGTATATTTAACCGATTCGCAGCATTTTGAAAAATATGGGACGGAGCACGGAGCGAAAATCTTAAATTTTATTTTTTTTTTCCATCGTTCGTGAAAAATTTAGTTGTCAATTTTTCACAGCCTATTAAGAATGTAAAGCTCAAAATTTTTGCATTTTTTTCGATGCAATTAGTTGAATTTAAATTTATTTAAAACCTTCTACTGTTTATTGAATTTTTTTGCAATTTTTCCTCCTTAAAATGTCTCATTCAGTGATTTTTCGGTATTTAACATTGTGATGAATCTAACTGTGACAGTCACTGACAATAGTTGATAGTAGAAAAAAAATTAGATTAATAATCCTAACGCTTGTTTAATTGTTTTATAACCTCAAGTGAGTTTTTCGACCAAAATAATTTGTCCCCAACTGTACATACAGGGTGAACAAAAAGTATTAGACCAAGCGGTTTTTTTTAATCGTTTATCGTCAAAAAATAATAATTAATAAAAATTAAAGTGCTATAAAAATTGCAATAGTGTTTTGAGAATGAAACTAAAATGAAGTTTTTGAGTTATGCAATTTTTTTCAAAATGTCAAATATACGATGTATTTTTTTTTCGATAAAAACTTAATAAAATGTAGTTAGTAGGAGTAATCCTTAGGTCATACACTTTGTAAAAAAAAAATTATAATGAGTTACCATTTGAAAAAATTAAAAACTTTACATCATTCAATTAAATTTTAAAATAAAATAAAAAACGTTTGATTCACCTGGTTTGCAAAATGCTCTAAGAAGTCAATTGGTGTCGGAAAAAAAACAAAATTCCGAATAATGTATTAATTACCGAGGGAAAACACAAAATGTTACGATTGCCTCAGCGACTCTTATTTTTTTTATTTATTCTTTGTTCGCGTTTTGGATTTTTTACCTCGACTCGTATATCCACAGTCTCCCGATGGTCAAAACCCTGGAATCCTCCTCATCCTGGAGCGTGTAATTCTCCCCCAGGATCCTCACATCGGTCCCTGCATGCAGTGTGCCACTCATCACTCGCCCCAAAACTTGAAACGACGTGCACTCATCAGTGGGGTACATCTTGGAGCTATGCACCATCAACAACCCATCCTGGTCACAATTCACCATATCATCATAAATCTTACTCGTATTGGGCCCCGTATAAATATGATCAATCTTTTTCTTCGCATTATCAAGCGGCGAATTGATATGCTCGACACACATATTGACAAAACCGTTGAAATCCCCTAGGAATTTATTACACACGAGACGCAAAAGGGGGCGAATATTCAGTTTCATTTCATTTTTAGTGAGTTTAATCCCTAGTTCGTCTAAAACATCAATTAGAGTGGTGTCAACGTCGCCGACGACTTGAGCGAAGACTTTGTAAAGGGGTTCCAGGATGAATTCGACGAAACTGCGCTGAGCGGAATTATGGGGGGCTTTTTTCGTAAATTTGCGACTGAAATTGTCACAATTATTTAACAATCAGGAAAATAACAATAATTACGTCTTGCTGTTGAAGTAAATGTCGCCCCAAAGCCGTTTTGAAAACTCATCAACGTTCACTTCCCCATAACATAGATTATACAAATTCGCAAACGATTTTAAAGTGAAACAAACCCCATATTGCGAACTGGCAAAGCAAACGTTTCCTAAAACGGGTGACACGATATGGGGGTTAGCATCGTCGGAGTAAAGCCTAGAAAATGTGTTTTAGACGTGTCAAGGGGGCACAATGACTCACGTTAATAATCCGTTTATTTCTTCAACGATGTGTCTCAATTTGTAATAGGCGTCCTGTGGGGGCAACTTCAACTCAAGAATCAAGCGATCTATTTTGTTAATACAAATTGTGATTTGCATTTGTTCCTGAACTGCATGTTTTAATAAACGCTCGGTGTTTAACATCACGCCTTCGGCGGCGTCTATGAACAACACGACACCGTCACAAAGACGCATTGCTGCGGTCACCTCATCAGAAAAATTGACATGACCTGTAAAAAAACACCCTTATTTCAATTAATTACCAATCAATTGTTATTACCAGGAGTGTCAAAAATGTTCATCAAGTAACTCTTGTTCTTAATATCCTGTAAAAGTAGCGTAATTGGAATTGACTTGATGGAACAGCCCCTTTCCTGCTCCGTGAACAGAGTATCAGTGTACCTCAAATTCTTCTCCTCGTAGTCTTGGTACCCAGGATGGGTTTGTCGAATCAAGCAATCAACAAACGTGGTTTTACCATGATGGAGGTGCCCAATCAACGCCACGTTGCGTATAAGCGAGGTATTATCCATCATATCAGCTAAAAATCTACCAAAAATTACGTTAAAATAATTGTTAATTCCCTCAAATTACTCCATATTGTAGAAGGTGTCGGGCAAATCCTGTTCCTTCAATTGAAACTTCTTCTTTTTCACCGGTTCGATCAAGGGGACGTCGAGGGGCTGCGCGTCCTCTTCTTGCACAATAGTCTCCACATCGGGACCGTAGACTTGCAAGGCCGAGGGGTAGTACTGCTTGTCCTCGTGCAGGACTATGGCCATGGGTTGGGGCTCGCTCTCGTCCATTTGCTCGTCCTGAAATAGAGCAATAAGGGGGCTGTGGGGCTTGAAAACGACTCACATCATAGTCTTGCTGTTCCTCGTCCTCGTGGGTCTCGGGCTCGTCATCCTCGTCGTCATCGCTGTCCAATTCAGGGCCGATGTAGTTGCCGAACTCGTCGTATAAATCCGCGTCCATTTTTGAGGTTTTGGCCCTAAACACGGGTTGACATAACCTCAAAAAAGCCGATAAGGGGGGAAGATTGATGCTGTTGGGGGTGCACAAACGATTATTCAATGCACCACTGGCGTTATTCAATAAGAATTCGTGGTTTATTGTGAAAAAACGTTGCAAAACGTAAGAAACAAATCACAGGTTAGGTGTTTGTTACCGGTCGTTACCAACCACACGAACAAAAAATTAAACTCCCTAAATAATTGAAGCCGAATATTATTAAAAAACGATTTATTTTAACTAAAATTGCAGAAATAGTTTTATTTTAGTTTAGTAATTAACAATAAAGTCACATTTCTTAAATAATTAAAACAAAAATAACAGTTGGTTGACTTTTCGTCCCAAAGATGGCGCTCAACTGGTAAATATTGATTTTGGGCATAAAAATAGACAAATATAGTATGGGGCCTCATTACCTATTTATAAAGCGGTTCTTTACTTCTGTTTACAAAGACAAAACTGTTATAAGCGATTTATGCAACATCTGATTTTTACTATAAACATCAAATCAAGCAGGCATGGCGAATTGTTCGTCTTTTGTTCACCTTGCCGGGGTCCATGGCCTGCTTACGCGCTGACGTAATTGTCACTAGTTTTTCCATTTACCGGCAATGACATCGGGGTCAAGGTCATAGTAGGTCAACTACCGTTTTATTATTACCATAACACCACTATCAAATTCAAGGTCGTAATGGTATGACTCTGAGGAGGTATAGGAAACACAACAAAACCTCCTAAACCAGCACTGGACTCTCCTTTTGTTACCATTGGTTAGATTTTCCCCCGTTTCAGAATGACTAGAACACGATTGGTGGATTATAGCAAGTAGGTGGTGTCAGTGTCAAAGCGTTCCGCCTGCTTGATTCCCATTGGACGTGCCTGAAATAGGCAGGTCAGCGACTTTTAAACAAACTAACCAATTTTTTTAAGGGTAAATGAAGGGTTGTGTGAGAAAACTAATTCCAAGGGTCGCTTTGGAACAAAAAGGACAACCCATTTGTAAATTTTCAGCCCAGAATTTTGTGTTTTAATGGACGTTTTAGCAAAATTCTGTGAAATCATAGTTGGCTTTATTGTTTAATTTTGATTTTAATTGATTGTCATTTGTTAAAACGTGGCCGGAGTTGATTAAAACACTTTCGTGCTTGTGGTTACACCCAATTGTCAACTTTTTTCTTCGGGTTTGCCCGATGTGGCAACGCCGCACATACACTTTCGACAATTCCCGGCTAAAATCGAGTTTATGTGATTATGTGTGAATCATTGAAGTTGGCCGTGATGCCACGTCACACTTTCCGTCTCTCTCGCACCCGTGTCTGTTCCCTAATGACGTTTGTGACGATTTCGAGGTCTATATATAGCACAATGTGGAACTAAACTGTTTAATATTTATGTTGAATATTTTAAGCAGGCGATGTGATGGTGTTTTGTTTTGTCGACGGTCAAGTAGGTCGTGGACGCAAGTCGCAATCACGAGGAAACACGTAAAATAATCACGTTGGCTTACATAGGTGGCTAGATTAAAGTCGATTTCGATTGTTATTTGTTGATTTGATTGTTTTATTGGGGGCACTCCCACTCCCCCCACTTGTTTTAATTGGGCGAGAGGTTGAGAGCGAGATGAAGTGTTGGTGTCACCTTTTTTCATCCTATTGAGAGATTAGAGGGTGAAGCGAGATAAAATGGGTTTGGGTGTAGGTACAGTGGCGGCTCGTGATTTAATTTAATTTATGTACATAAATAAAATAAATTAATTTGAAGTTTTGTTCAAGTTTTTTCCCACCTTTAATTATTCCGAAATAAATATAAAATTGAATTATAATATACCTATATTGATTTAATTTTTTTATCATTGCCTTATATAAAGACAAAACTTATGACACAAGTCTGAATTTATATGTATCTTCAGTGTGTTTTGCAATGTTGCCATTTTAATTTTAAAAACACAGGCTACTTTGATCAGAAGTTTAACTGAAAGCATCATGGTATAGTGCATATAAAAATCATGAAAGTTTAAAAGCGTCGGTAGGCAAAACTAAAGCTCCGATTGATTTCTCGTTTTCACTATTCGATAGGTAATCGAACACAGAATACGACGGTACAGCCCAGGGGTGGATGAGATGCTGTTAGGCGGCCCGAAAAAATCTTAAAAACGTAAATTTTAACTATGTACGAGGGTCATGAGTACGTATTTAAATTAGTGACACTAGGTAGGTACTCCAAAAAATTAAAGGAACAAAAATATTTCGTAAATTTTTTGATGAGATTTGAAAGGCTGTATCTCATCGAAAAATGTTTTTTTTTTTAGCAAAAACTTTATCTGTCACGCAATCCCAAATAATAGCGCAAGAAAAGTAAATTCTAAATTTTTTTGGTTTTGATTGACGGAATTTTTTTGTTAATTAAGTCAATACATCCTACTAATACCATGTTTTTTTATGTTTTAATATGTTTTTTTCATATTTTCTTTACGTCAATTTGTCGGTGAGATATCTAACTTCAAATGAAAAAGGATCCTTTTGTCTTTGATCATCGATATCTCATCCACCAATGACCACACAGAGAATGTAAGGGTAGTGTCAAAAATTGAAATAAATGTCTTTCAAAATCCTTTTATGATTTTTTTGAAAATATTTTTTCTTCACCCTCTACATTGATTTAAAGAAAAGAAAAAAGTAACTTTTTGCATAGTTTTAGTAAATGTACCGTGTATTCACTAATAATGATGGGGAGACTAATGTTTTAGGTGTTTTTACAGCCTAATGTACCCCCCACAGCGCTGTAAATTTTGAAATCGATGCACTGAACCGTTTTCTCGGACCGATTGATTAAAATTTAGCAAATGAATTAAAAAAAAATAACATTTTTTTCATGTTCCTGATGGTATCTTATCTTACTTGAAAATTTTCTCTGGGGCGCCAATTTTAACACATCCTGTATAAAAAAGTGCATTTCTGATTATAGAATAATAAGATGAGATGATATTTGATCGCGGCCCACCGGGAAAATTCCCGAACTCCCGGTTGAGCCCATGTTTTCCGAGAAAAATAAAAAAGGAAACTCAAAATTTTCAGTTTTTAAACGCAATTTACGGAGAAACTATCTAAATTACCACAAAAAAATGAACATCAAAGGCTCTAGAACATCAGACATTTAAAACAGAAGCAATAAATGATGCTTTTGGTATATATACTATACTTATACCTACACCTACCAGGAACATTTTTTCAACAAAAATGGCAATATTTGACGTTTTTACCTAAACTACGAACCGGAAGCAACATATCTTTTGGATTATAATTATCCAAAATGTTCCGACAAGTCGAGTGACATGAAGAAAAATGTAAACTTTTATAGGTAATTTAAAAGTTACAAACAGAATTTTATTTCACAGATTTTCTCGATAACTAAGCGTCACAGGACGGTGATCTTTTTTTCATTAAATGATAAGAAGAAAAAGCTTTCCAGCGGTACTAAACTTAAGTGGCTAGAAACAATAGTACCGGAGTTACAGACGTCCAAACAACAAGACTTTAATCGGAAAAACTGAAATTTTTTCAATCAACACAAATAACGTTTATCTACAAACATCGCAAAAGAGGCCACTTTCAAGACTAAATGTCACAAGTAAAAGTTTTTTTTCAGTCATGGAATAAAAATTCTATTTTTTACTTTGACTATGATATTATTGACATTTACCAATGTTATCTTCTAGAGAAGTATATTGATGTAGTTCATCAGCACTCGACATTTTGTACTACTAACTGCACTAGTCATACACTATTAAATTAATAAACACATTCGAAAATGTCAATACAAATTCCGATACTAACGCGTGATGTTTGTTTATAAGCGCTGTTATAATTTCACTAGGAATTTGCAAAGCGTCCTGATTATTTTGTTTATTTACTTGCTAATTAGTGTTGTTCTTTACTCTCGATCTGAATACGTTTACGAATAAAATAGGATAGGTATGTTATTCGGAATAAAAGTGAGTTAATGTGACTTAAATGAATTATTTTCCTCACTACGTTTGGCTAAATAAACGTTCAGCTTCGCCACATAAAGTATTACTTTTACTCCTCATAACATAATATATCTTTTTTTTTCGTTTTTGCATAAAAAATGTATTTTTCTGTATTGACTGATACTTAACTTAAAAATTTCTAGGAGTTTCCCGAAATTTTCTCGTCGGGTTAATAAAAAGGCCACTGAAGCCACTTTTATGACTTAGTTCCCAAACAAACCCATTTTTGGACCCACAATTCAATTTCTCGGAATTTGTAATAAAAGTGAAAGTCCAAAACCGTTATTTACGATTTTTAGACCCCACATTGTTATTATCGAATTGTATAGTCATTTAACATTCCTTCTGTAGGTACAAAATCCAGCCAGATGGTTATTGTCCCAATTTTTCATACGAAGTATAGAGTGCGGTTGGCTTCGTCGAGTCACTCTATATCCATTTTATTCATTATCGATGTCTACATAATTACGTCTTGTTTACTAAATAGATAATAGACACGAGACACAGATGCTCTCTCTGTGGATAAAATACCGTCAAAGTTCGTGCTGGTGAAGCACTCACACAAACAAATACGCATCGTTCCCTCGACGGGAGTACAGTTTTGATAAATATCGGAACGGCCTTTGTGAACCACCAGGGAGTCTGCAGCCGAACGATTTCCATATTTTGAGGACGCTCCATTCGCCACAATCATATACAGGGTGTTTGAATTGAACATTCCCGAAAATAAAAAAAAATCTCAATTTTGTGTTGAAATTAATTTTAAACCTCCACAGGTTTCCATTAAATTCCAACCCCATTTTCCCCTATCGATTTCACTTTCCTTTCAACCCCGCTTCAGTAATAAATACAAAGCAAGAGGTAATTTCCCTCAATCCCCGCAATTAATAAATTCCATAACGTAGATAACTGTTCCGAAATTCAACACAACTTTCATAAATCCCACGCAACAAATTGGTTTACAACCCTTATCTAAACACAGTGTCACAAAAACAAATTTTAAACAGATCAAGTTGGCCTTGTCCCAAGTTTTTTCACCATTTATCTGTATAAAAATTTGTGACTTCTCATACCTATAGGGTGTCTAAAAGTTTTGCGAACAATATCCTAATTATACAGGGTGCGCCAGAACTTGCGTCCCAGAGAAAAATGCCATATAAGGTAAGATACCAGGAATATGGAAAAAATGTTAAAAAAAATTTATCTTTAAAAATTTGTAAGTTATGAGAGTTTAAATTTTTCAATTTGACTCTATTTATTTTTGTTGGAAAAATAATTTTCCAAGTTTTTTATTACAAGCTATTAGAAAAGGAAACAAGGAAGCTGTATCCTAAATTGTATAACTCTGTTTAATGTTATTTCTGGCTTTTATTGGCAAAAATTTTAAACCTTTAGTAAATAATTGTAAAAAACATATACAAGGTCATCAGTATCATTAAATAGACATAAAAAATGTCAAATGTCAAAAAATAAATGTCAAAATTTGTTGACAGATAGAAATTTTTAGACATTTTTTCCATGTTTCTGGTACCTTATCTTACTTGAAATTTTTCTCTGGGCGCGAATTCTAGCGCACCCTGTATTTTTTTAAATTTTCTTTCTTGTTTGTTATTTTTATTCCTACTTTTTTAAATTCATTAGAAATTTGTGGAAAGAAATTTTACTTACCTTCTTTTGACTCTAGATTACGAATAGGATACGACACGAAGTAAAACAAAACGTCCCCGTTTTCGATAGTTCCGTTAGTGAGGCCAAATAGCGCAGTTATTCCTTTCCCGTTTAAGTTTTAAGAATAATGAAATAATAAAATGGCAAAATTGCATAACGGTGAGCAAAACGTAAATAAAAAAATATAGACAGATAGAGCATTAAATTCTCAATAATAAGAAATAAAGGTAATGCAAAAATTTTATTGAAAACTATATTAAAAGAAATTCAAACATTTATCAATTTGCTAAATTAATTTTGAAAATGCTGCGAATACGGTTAAAGGTCCTCGAGAGATACCTCCATCTTCAACGGTTTGGGCCCTAAAGACGTTCAAAGACACTCAAGTGACGAATACGTGTCATTTTTACCGGTGGTCAAGAGACAGAAAATTAATTTAAACCTAAACGGTTGAAGATAGAGATTTGGCCTCGACTTTTCTATAGGAAATTTAATTCTCTACAACTTTGTTTCCTACACTTTTTTTGTATCTTCAACCGTATTCGCAGCGTTCTCAAAAATATCGGAAACAGTATTAAAAATAATCAACAATTATCAGTTTGCGTTTCGCCCAAATTTTTTTAGAACGCTGCGAATATGGTTAAAGATACAAAAAAACTGTAAGAAACAAAATTATAGAGAATAAAATTTACTACAAAAAAGTCGCGAGACCATATTTCTATCTTCAACGGTTTAGCTTTAAATTGCTTTAAAGTGTTTCACTGGCACTGAATCACCAGTAAAAATGAAACGAATCCGTCCCTTGAGCGGCTTTGAACGTCTTTGAGACCTAAACCATTAAAGATAAAGGTATGGTCTCACGGACTTTTTACTAGAAAATTTTATTCTCTACAACTTTCTCTCTTACATTTTTCTTGTATCTTCAACTGTATTCGCAGCATTTAAAAAAAAAGAAACGGAGCACAGATTTTAAATAAAAAAAATTTTTTCTCATATTTCGTGAAAAATTTAGTCATTCGTTTGTCACAGCTTATTAAGAATGTAAAGCTCGACATTTTTGCATTTTTTTCCAAGCAATTAATAGACTGGTTAAATTTAAATTAATTTAAAACAATTTGAAACTGGGACGGTAAAACGCTACGCGCTGTACTACTTTTTTTGGGTCCAAAAAATCGAGCAATGTTGTATCTCTAAATCAAAGTAATCCCATCTGAATCACTCTGTACCGAACGCAATTCTAGTCATTTTGATAACTCAGAAAAACAAGTAAATTTTCAAAATTTTTTTTAATGAAAATTGTAAAATAATTTACATTTCCCTTACGCTAACATTCTACAATTTACATACATTATAATACAATGAAACCTCTCATAACTGATTTAAAAAAGTCGAAAATAACAATACACAACATTAACAGAAGTTGCCAAAATTTTTAACTGAAACTAACAAAATTCCAACAACCCCCTACCCCTTGACCCGCCGTCAATTCTCCTTGATATTCCCCATCAACTTACTCTGCGCACTCAAACTCTGCAAATACTTCTCGTATTGCAACAGCGGGCCTTGATTCAGCCAACTATGATGCTCCATCTGCTTCAACATCATGGCATGTTGGAGTGCCCCAAACCCCCCGTTGAAATTAAAACTAGCCGTCAATTGAGCCAAATTCTGTATATTATATTTTTCGAGAAGATGATTCGGACTCAAACTGGCTTTAGACGTCGAGGGGGACACCTTACCCCCTTTGGCTTGCCCCACCGAGACCGTATAATTCAACCCTAAACTCGGCGAATGCAAACTGGCACTGGTTTTGGAAGGGGGCTTTAGAGTCCTCTGAGTCGCAAGTCGAGGAATGGCGATTTTACCCCCCACGTCCTCACTTTTATTTTTCTCTTGATGTTCACTTTTAGTTTTTTTAGACAGTTGGGAGGCTATTTCGAGGATTTTCCGTTTGGGGGTAGTGGAATTTTCGCTGGTTAAATCAAGAGGGGTCGGTTTTTCCGTCGGGGGGGATTTTTTAATACTTTCTTCAAAAATTTTCTGAAACGTGGGGGTTGTCTGTTTTTTATCCTTATCTTCGATTTTTAAAATTTCGATGTAGTTTTTCACGGGAGGTATTGAAGGGGGTGTCCGGGCCCCCCCTTCGCCACCTTCATTCAAAGTTATTGATAAGGAGGCTGGGATGTTAATTTTGCAATTATTGATAAGTGACTGTAGGTCGGTTTGTTTGTTCGTTTGTTCCACGATTTTTGACATATTGTTGACGTTTTGGTTGACATTTGTCACCATTTGTCTGACAGTCGGATTTTGTATGGATTTTGGTTGTATGATGATTTTCATCGGTTTTTTCTCGATTTTCGGCTTTTTGTCGTTTTTCATCGGACTGGAATTCTTCCGTTTTTGCGAAGATGAAGATGAAGAACATGGGAGGGGGATTGGAGGGAGTTGAGGAGGGGGTTTAGTTTCTTTCTTCTCGAGCGAACTTTTTGCCGTCAATTCGATCGATTTGAGAAAATCTTCCTTTTCTTTATTTTCTTCTTCAGTCTTCACGTCGACACTAGGAACTAACTTATCGTTTTGTCCGTTTTGTTTTTGTACTTTTGCTTTCTTCACTGTATGATTTATGATATTAAGTCCGATAGGATGGCCTTCTTTGTTCGACACTTTTTGTATTTTTGTGATAATTTCCACATTGTCGTCACGATTCAATGTTATATTCGTATACACCGAGTCGCCATTTTGAATTTTGTTTTTTATTTCTTCGGTTATTTCCGGTTTTAAACGCACTTCGTCGCCCTTTTCACTTTTTATTTCCAGTTTTGGACTCGACACTTCACTTTTCACCGGTTTTGAACCCACGACAAGTTCACTTTTAACCAGTTTTGGTTTTGGACTCGCGACATGTTCACTTTTAACCGGTCTTGGACTCGCCATATGTTCAGTTTTGGCCGGTTTCACTTCACTTTTAACAGGTTTTGGACTCGCGATGACTTCATTTTTGATCGGTTTGTGGCACGTCACTTCACTTTTGATCGGTTTTGTATTCGGCACTTCGCGTTTAACCGGTTTTGTACTCGTCACAATATCAGGCTTAACCGGTTTTGGACTCGCCACAACTTCATGTTTGACCGGTTTTGGACTCGCCACAACTTCTTGTTTGACCGGTTTTGGACTCGATACAACTTCTTGTTTGACCGGTTTTGGACTCGCCACAACTTCAGGTTTGACAGGTTTTGGGCTCGACACAATTTCAGGTTTGAATGGTTTTGGACTCGAGACAATTTCATGTTTGATCGGTTTTGGACTCTTCTCTTTCTTCACTTCTTCCTTTTTCTGACTAGTCTTCTTCTCCTTGATCTTGACCGGTTTATGGACGACTTCCGGTGATGTACGGCCGTCGAAGTAGTCGAACCTTTCAGTCACTTTGTTTATATCTGTGATTCGAAAGAAGAATTTCATTGGTTCGTTCCTTTTCCATGAGTAGATGTATCCGATGTCTATGAGGGTGTAATGGTCCGGTAAGGGTACTCTCTTGTATAAAATATCAATCTGTCAAAAAAAAAAGAAATTAAAAAATAATTATTGTAATTTCCGGTCAAATTTTTCGTACTTACATGAAAAAGATTAGTATCGACATTGTATTTATTTCTGACGAATTTCTTCAAAACTTCAATGCGACACATCCCGGGACATTGAAGATATCTCTTCATGGGATTGTCATGAGGTTGTTCGGTGTTGGCTGGTAGGGATGGTATAGCGCCTGGGGCCGAATCATCACTGGAAAATGGGTCGTTTGTACCATTTGGAAAGACAGTCAGCTTAATAAATTGCAAGAAGTTTATTATTATTTTCTCGCTTTGTCTATTTAATAATGTTTGGTGTTAATGTATTCTTGTCTAGCAATGACATAAAAATAAAGCCTTACTCTTATTTGATTTGAACCGCAAAAAAAACATCGACATGGAAGGACTACCATGTGTTCAATAATTTCTGATTTTTCAATATTGCCTACTTAATTTTAAAGTCACAGGTCACTTAGATAGTACATATAATCAATAACAATAAATAACATGTTATTATTAAACCATGTCGATTCAGTTTTCGACTTTGGAAAAATGAGAAACAACGAACTCAAAAGTTAAAAAAAAATAAAAAACACGACAGTTTTGAAACTATTTTAGGCTTGCTCTTCCGTCCAAGTACTAAAACTGTAACTGTAAATGTTTATCGATCGGTAGAGCTGTATTAATTTCTCTAGTGAGAAAAACTAAAAAAACAATACCTAATAAAATCAGTACAAAACAATTATGTAACTATTAAAACAACCATCACGTTGATAAACTTGTTACGTATTATTGCCAACCTAAATTAGCATTGAAAATCGTCAGAAAGTCATACTCGCAATGTGAGTGAAAGGTTTTAGTAAAAAATACATCTTCCATATACCAGGTGACTGTAAATGATTGTGATTTTTTACCTCAAATTGGTGTCAAATTTAAAATTTTAGTTTGGCAACCATGACTTGAAACTTTAAAAGGCAATTGTCATTGATTTGCGACGGCCGACTGATGATTTAGCCGCCACCTGAAACATTCTGATATAACAAATTCAGTGTTGCCAAAAGATTTTATTGCCACAAACATTAATATTCACCCGGTACTAATAGAGAAATAAATAAAAATCGAGTCACCATTTATCTTGTTTATTACAGCGATATGATTATAAATAAGATTTAAATAAATTCTTTATCGAGATAAAACTCTACTGAATTTTCAGATAGGTATAAGTAACCATGACTACAGACCTATAAATAATTTTCAAACTAGGTACGATTTTACTACAAAACTATTTTTGCAAACCGAAATAGAAAAACACTTTATTTACTAACTTACTAATGAAAAGAGATGAAACTGAAAAAGACCAATAGTATGTTTAAAAAGAAATAAAGCATTGGCTTCTACAATCCAAATCAAATAAATTAATTATTTGTCGATAAACTCGTGTGTTATATCGAAATTTTTCTTATCGCAGAGATTATAAAAATGCTTTGCATTTCCCAATAATCAATCCGAAAAATGACTAAAGTAAAACCACGTCGATAAAATACTCGTTTGGTCAAATGTGACGTCATCGAAAAATCACGGCCACCTGTTGTGACGTTACGATATTTCATCGTATAAGACGTTCAAAGAGCGCAGACGCGATCAATCAAGAGAGAGTGAAAGAGAGATAGAGTAAAGGGAGTAAATAACGATCGAGCCAACAAGTTGCCGGCTAATTAAGCGCCGGTAATTAATTAGCCGTTTAAGGGTGGACCATAAAAATCGTTCGTTTTTTTCTAATTGCAATAAGTAATGTCTGATAAGAATATAAATAAGTCTATTATTTAAAAAGGGTGAATAAATATAATACTCGAATCTTGTTTCAAGAATCCATATTTCTGAAGTTGAAGGCGAATTTAATAAAAGAGGAAACAGATGGAATGATAAATAAAATGAATGAGAGAGGGGGCGCTGTCATAAAAAGACGTCGAAATACCAATAAAAACATATTTTATAAGCTTTTTGATCAAAGTGCCACAAAAGTGTGGGTTTTGCAATATTTCTTTCCCAAATATTTAAATCCGATCGTTTTGCAATTAATCGCAGATATAAATCACGAGTGAAAGCAAAACCTAGATCCAATTAGCGCGCGCGAATTTCACCCGAAAAAATCCGACTCTTTACGTAACACATTTTCACCGAGTTATACGAGGGCAACTCAAAAAAATTACGCAGCTGTAAAACAAAAGACAAACAATAACAATGTTTTGTTATTAGATTAGATGGGTGTTCCAGCGAGTCGAAAAAGTCCATTAGTGAGCTTTAAATGGTAAAATTTAAAAAAAAATGTATAAGACATTGACAGATAGATACTAATCTAGTGCGTCACCTAAAATTATTTTCAACCATACAGCACGTCCCAAAAATAAGTGACGATACAAACTTGTGTTTTTTAATGAAACACCGTATGTGTTTGGACATTTTAAGACAATGTTTTTAATCTAAACTTTTATTAGTCGATTTAGCTTAGTTTTAGCAATGAGACTTTTTTTGACGAAAATATGCACTTTTTAAAAATTCATTTCACAAAAACTAAGACAGTTAGAACAAATTTTTTCTTACTTCTGCAAAGAAGAAAGTACAGAATTTAAAGCTGTAGCAATTTTTTAGTGTTTTGCATTAGTAATGATGAATAAATTAAGAAGTTTGTTAAATGTTAAATAACTTAAAAAAATTAAATAGAACACCCTATTTTTTATTTTTGCATCTAATCGATTGATAAATTCTCTATCTAAAAAAATAAACTTTTAATGTCTAGAATTGTTAAATGAAAAGATATTTAACATTCAATATTAATTGTAGCAACAATGCCTATCAATATCTGAGCATTGTAGGTATATACTATGGCAATCATAGTAATTCCACCACGGATCACTTGATTTATCCAGAGATCATAAAAGTCGTTATAAATACTGAAATTCGAATTATTTTATTGTAAAAATAAAGAATAATGGATTCAGTTTAACACAAATGTGATTATTAAGTGACATTTCTTCCATCTCTTGTGCAACTGTGCACTTTTTGGCTACTAATACAATAGTAATTTTTTTTTTATGTTTAACGTTAAATATCTTTTTAGTTATTGATTATAAACACCTAAAAGTAAATAATTTTAGAAAGAGAATTTAATAATATTTTAAATGCAAAAACAATAAATAGGGTGTTCCATTTAAATTTTTTAAGTTATTGAACTTTTAACAAACGCCTTGATTTTTTTATCTTTGCAAATGCAATACACTAACAAAATGTTACAACCTAGTAGTTTGTACCTTCTTCTTTGCGGTAGTAAAAAAATATTTCTAGATGTCTTAGTTCTTGTGTAATAAATTTTTAAAAAGTGCATGTTTTCGTCAAAAAACCGTCTTATTTTTAAAACTAAGCAAAATCGATCAATAATAAAAGTTTACAAAAACATTGTCATAAAAATCTACATCCAAAAATGCTAAGAAACATATGGTGTTTCATTTAAAAAAACACAAGTTTGTATTGTAACTTATTTTTGAGACACGCTGTATAGTTGAAAATAATTTTAGGCGATTTATTAGATTAGTATCTATCAATGTCCTGTATAATTTTTTTAAATTTTACCATTTAAAGGTCACTAATGGACTTTTTCAACTCGCTGGGACAACCTGTAGGTACCTGAAATATTTATTCACTTTTGTTACCGACTTTAAAAATTAAAAAAAAATCATCTACTATATTGTTGACAACTATTTTGCAAATCAAGTATTTTTAACGGAAACGTTGAGAATATTGCATATAAAACATCTTGAAAAATAAAATTTTGTTTAAATGAGTCCTCTTTACAGATGGGTAGATTACTTCCTGAAAATCCCTCGTATCAGGTCAGGATTTTTTGATGCCTCACGTGCAAAAAATATCGATTTTCGTTGTTCTTTTTCTCGTGTGCGTGTGTAAGTGACCGGGGGCGGCGGCAGAGGAGGAAGGGGGGCCGCCACCGTCGTGACACTCACAACAGGTTGCCGCTTTATCATTTCTCTCTTTTCTTACTATAGCTTCGTCTCCGTCTCCTTAGAGTGAAGTATCGGTGTGCATGGCACACTGCGATATATGCGGCGAGGCATGGCGATTTAATTTAAAGTCAGGAACGTAGGCGGACACCCTTTTACGACTTGTTTTTTTTCTCCCCTCCCGAATTGAATGAATGAATCGAGTGACCTTTGAGACCAACGCTCACCTGATGTACTCAATTGAGAGACTTATAGCGTCCTGAGGGTTGAAAATCGTCCGTTCGGTATCTTCTCCGCGTTCCTCCGGAGAGACTTTCGGCGCTAATCCGGGCCTGTTTTGATAAAACTCCTTTCTTCGGTACATTTCGTTGACGAAAAGTCCCGGAACCAATTTATAAACAATATCTTGTAGCGTCTTATCCAATCTGAAATGAAACATTTTAAAGTCCGGTCCTGTCTCTATGGGAAATAAACTCGCGTCCATTTGCATGTAATTATCAACGGCGGCGTGGGAAAACATCCGGAATGACGACGATCGTCTTTTTTTATTAGAAAACGTGATTTTAGTGTGAAGTAGAGAAAGCGCAGACGCGTCTGTAGCGTCGCGACGCCACATCAATATACAACGCGGCGCGTGTTTCCGTTTTTCCCACGGTTCACCGCCTGCTTGATATATACTCTACTATACTCACTTGAGACAAGGCTTGGCCTTGTTGATGATGACTTCGCACACTGGACAGTAGCAGTTCTTTTGGAGGAACTTGATGATGCAACTTCGGCAAACTGGAACAAAAAATAAAAGGAAACAATTACAAAAATTCGAAAAATCATTTTTTGTCTAACAATAATTTTAAATGCTTCTCTAGACGAAACTATAATACCTATCGACTTAGGTTTTTCAGTATTTGAAAGAAAATGAAATATAGATTCCGATGGTGTTTTCATTTTTGTCACAGGACTCAGTGTCCAGGATACGACACGAAGTAAAACAAAACGTCCCCGTTCTCGATAGTTCCGTTAGTGAGGCCAGATAGCGTAGTTGTTCCTTTCCCGTTTAAGTTTTAAGAGTAATGAAATAAAAAAATGGCAATGGTGAGCAAAACGCAAATAAAAAAATATAGACAGAGCATTAAATTCTCAATATTAAGAGGTAAAAGTAATGCAAAATTTTTATTGTAAACTATACAGGGTGTTCGGTCTAAGTTGCCTCAGCCGATAACACCTAAACTTACTATTTTTTTTCAAAAAATAAATTTTCAAACAATACTATTCGTTCCTGGCTTTCTTAGTAAATGCATGAAATTTTTTTGGCACATCCGGTGTAGCTGGAAATGCCACCAAATTTAGTTTTTCAAATGGAACACCTATGTTTTTTTGCTCGAAACAATAATAATTGGCATGAAAATTACGGTAAACAACTATTTATTACATTTTACTTTACATAATGCACTCAGAAAATAATTTAAATTTTGGAATTTTATTAGCAAATTTTACAAAGTAGGCGGATTTTACTTGTGAAGGTATTCATGCAAAAAGCAATATGCTTGATACCGTTTAATTGTTATTTTAACAAAGCCTAATTTGTTAATAAATCTTATTGAAATTTTTAATAATGGGATAATAATTACGACGAATTGGTAGATCAGCTTGAAGTGTTTTTTAAGTGCAATAAAATTAGAGGGGAAGCTAAAAGACAGTATAGACAAAAATATCCAAATAGAGTTCACCCAAATCGTTGGAAATTTAGTCGAATTGAAAAACAATTGAGAGGTTCGCTTCTTAAAACTAAAAAACCTGTGGTTCTTAGTGAAGAACAAGAAAATGGAAATCTGAATGTTCTGTTATCAGTCGAAGAAAATCCAAGAGTTTCCATAAGAGAACTCGCTCATAAACTGACAAATTAGATTTGTCAAACCAACAATTAAACTGTACCCATAGATGAATACTTATATACGGTCTATAGATGGCGTACTCATGTACAAACTTTTGAACTTGTATTCAGCAGCGCCTCTGTAGTTTGGACGCTGAACTATAGAGCAAAATGTGCTTTATGAAATGGTAAAAATAATGTTAATTGAGTATTTAGTACAGGGAGATAAGTGCTACTGGCATCTTATTAGAGATTAAACAAAGAAAATATAAGTTTATTTTTTTAAAGTGATTTATTAAAGATATTGAATCAAATTAGTTAACATAGGTGGTTTCATACTTATATGGATTATATTAGAACAATTATGTTCGAGAAGGAAGCATAAACAGTCTGAGTTGTTGAGTTCTTGTCTCAAAAGGGTGTCGGCCGGAACAAATCTTCATATTTTTCCCATCAATGTCCACATTTTCATCAACAAAATTCACAAATTGTTAGTAAAACTTCCTTTACTTGTACACACAGCCACACATCTGTACACAATAACTGAATTAAAATCTAAAAATCATAACTACACATAAGCACTTTGAACGATGTCACCGTCAAAATTTAATTTTTTCTATCAGAGGTGTCACAGCCAACCGCTAAAATTTTAAAATTTTGATGCGAGCGCCTCTGGTGTTTGGACGCTAAATTAAATAGATAGACTGCATTCACCAATCTAAGAAACCATAGCATGACTGTACCCAAGCATTTTTTTATTCACACCTTTCTTTTAAAATTAAAAATCAGACTACGGGACCAATTTCCTTCTAAAATTCTAAGATTTAAGATGTTTTTTGATTGCATTGTGTTACGCAAAATGTAATAAATAGTGGTTTACCGTATTTTTCATGCCCATTCCTTTTGTTTCGAGAAAAAAACATAGGTGTTCTATTTGAAAAACTAAATTTGGTAGCATTTCCGGCAACATCGGATGTGCTAAAAAAATTTCATACATTTATTAAGAAAGCCAAGAACTAATATTATTACTTCACTATTTACTTTTTGAAAAAAGGAAGTAAGTGTAGGTGTTATCAGCCGGGGCGACTTGGACCAAACACCCTGTATAGGACATTGATAGATACTAATCTAGTCCATCGCCTAAAATTATTTTCAACTATACAGCCTATCTCAAAAATAAGTTACAATACAAAATAAAACACCATATGTTTCTTAGCGTTTTTATAGATGTAGATTTTTATGACAACTAAATAATTCAAATAAAGTATTTATAACGACTTTTACAATCTCTGGATAAATCAACAGATAATATAGTGATCCGTGATGGAATTACTATGGTTGCCATGGCTCAGATATTGATAAGCATTGTTGCTACAATTAATATTGAATGTTAAATATCAGACCCTGTATTTAAAAAAATTTCAAACATTTAACAATTTGCGAGCCGTCTCATAATTTTGAAAATGCTGCGAATACGGTTAAATGTACAAGAAAAATATAAAAAAGAAAGTTGTAAAGAATAAAATTTTCAAGAAAAAAGTCCTCGAGAGATACCTTTATCCTCAATGGTTTTAGGTCCTAAAGACGTTCAAAGACACTCAAGTGACGAATACGTGTCATTTTTACCGGTGGTCAAGAGACAAAAAATTAATTTAAACCTAAACGGTTGAACATAGAGATAGGTATGGTCTCGCGAAATTTTTTGTAGGAAATTTAATTCTCAACAACTTTGTTCCCTACACTTTTTTTGTATCTTCAACCGTATTGGCAGCGTTCTCAAAAATATCGAAAACAGTATTAAAACCAATTATCAGTTTGCGTTCCGCCCAATATTTTTGAGAACGCTGCAAATATGGTTCAAAATACAAAAAAAGTGTAAGAAACAAAATTGTAGAGAATAAAATTTACTACAAAAAAGTCCGCAAGACCATATTTCTATCTTCAACAGTTTAGGTTTAAATTGCTTTAAAGTGTTTCTCTGGCATTAAATCACCAGTAAAAATGAAACAAATCCGTCGTTTGAGAGGCTTTGAACGTCTTTAAGGCCTAAACCATTAAAAATAGAGGCATGGTCTCGCGGCCTTTTTACTAAAAAATTTTATTCTCTACAACCTTCTTTCTTACATTTTTCTTGTATCTTCAACCGTATTCGCAGCATTTTGAAAAACAAGAAACGGAGCACAGATTTTAAATTTAATTCTTTTTTTTCATATTTCTCGTGAAAAATTTAGTCGTTCGTTTTTCACAGCTTATTAAGAATGTAAAGCTCGACAATTTTGCATTTTTTCCAAGCAATTAGAAGACTGGTTGAATTAAATTAATTTAAAACAATTTGAAAAAACTGAGACGATCTAAGCGCCCTCATTTTTGCTCTGCCGTACAACTTTTTTTGGGTCCAAAAAATCCAGCAATTTTGTATTTCGTTTCGTTTCCTAGTATGTAGTTCTCCGTAGTCCAAGAAAAACGCGAAAAAAGCTGTTTTCAGTTTTGTTTTTCTATAAATCTAGTTGTTACTACACAAAGGTGCGAAATGAGGTGTAACATAAAAGCCTTCGTTGTTTGTACAGCCGTTCCGATAACGTATATCATTACCGACACGGTAATGGTCGGAAGTAACACTCGAAATATTATAAATGGTCGCAATTCGGGTTTAAACAGTGAAAACGTCGGGATATAGTGGTATTTAGAAAGGGGGAGCGTTTCGTGGAATAAATTAAGAGGAGATTCAAGTGTATAAGAGGGTTGAAGCGAGAGGGAGAAACATATTGAGAGATTGTTTTCGCAAAAGAAAGGGTTGAGTGTAATAATATAAAAGTTAAGATTGAATTAGAGCAGAATCTTTAATACACGAGGACGAAGTCCGAGTGAACTAAATTCTAAGTGCTATATGTACAACATTTCTTCCACCTTTTGTGGTATTAATTTTAAAATTAATTTCGAAATATGAAATTCACTGACTAATTTATCAATTCGTACTGTTTGTAGGGTAACCAAACCTCTTATATTATTTACACACTTAACCGATTCTCGACGTGTTTACAAACCAATTAACCGGGGGCTAAATTACGGAATAATTAAATCGAGTGAAAAACTTGGTGCTTGGGGCACACAGGCGTTACTTACACGAATGCAGACATTCCGATATGGTGGTGGCGTCGATCAGATACCCCTTGCAGAGATAACAGGTCAAGTATGAGTTTATCTCGACAAGTTTGATCTTCTCGTGCTTTTGAGGAGGATCCATCGCTGTTTAAAACCTGCAATAAAACGAAGAACAAAATTAAAAATTAATCACGTTTAGTTGAGTCAAATTCAGGTTTTGAGACGAATGACTACAAATTTCTAAAACATAACTAAAGCAATGAAATCAACTCTTGAAATAGACTTTTGTAACGATATTACAGTCTGGAGCTAAATATGCAGTCGCTACCTTCATAACACTAACAGTTATGTTTAGTTAAATACAAGACGGTTTATTTTAATGGTTGTGTTTATGTAAAGTTTGATTGAAGTTTGTAATTGTTTCACCCTGTATGGGCTGTATGTATTTAATCAATGAAGTCATTATGTGAAATTCGAGGAAAAATTGATGTGCGATGATGTTTGACAAAGTTAAACAAAAGCGGAAGTCATCAACGTAATGAAATTGCTGTATTTATCGCACTTCGACACTCAAGAAATAATCATAATTTTCCAAACATCCAAATGAATTAAACTTTCGGCCTTATAAATATTAAATCATCTAAATTCAAGGAAAAATTTGTAATACAGTACAACCTCGATAGATAAGAGGAACATCCGAATGAAATATACATACAGGTGTCTCAGAACTCGCGATCCAGAGAAAAATTTCAAGTAAGATAAGATATCAGGAACATGGAAAAAATGTTAAAAAAATTCTATTTGTCAAAAAATTTTGACATTTGACATTTTTTATGTCTATTTCATGTTACTGATGATCTTGTATATGTTTTTTATAATTATTTAGTAAAAGTACAAACATTTTGCCAATAAAAGCCAAGTCCTTGTTTCCTCTTCTAATAGCCTGTAGCAAAAAAACTTGGAAAATCATTTTTCCAACATTTTAATAGATAGAATATTTTTAACATTTTTTTCATGTTCTTGGTATCATACCTTATATTTTTCTCTGGGGCGAGAATTCTGTCGCACCCTGTATAATTTTTACTACAATGCTCTGAATAAAATATAAGAATTAAAGAACAGTAGTACATTTGCTGTAATTTTAAATTCCACTTGCCAGTTGTCATATTTCACCACCTATCGAGGTTCCACTGTAGTTATTGTTTGGCAATAATGGACTCGATGAAACAATAATTCTTGGAGTACCGTTTATTCGTTCCTCAAGCCGTCAATTAATTTACTTAATACATACAGAAAAACTAGTCATTTACAAAAAAAAAAACTCGCTTTTTCGTAGAAAAAGTGCGAACCTACAGAAAAAAATCTGTAAATTAAGATGTAATATGTAAACATTACAAAATTTTACTAGTTACAGCAACTGTAATTTATCAGTTGTATAATTTTGAACAATTCTTGCAAAAATACTGGCAAAGTCTGTATAAAAAGATGTATTTTCGTATAAGAAGTTAGAAATTAACAGAAAGATAGCAAGTGTTTACATACAGGATGTTTCACACAACTTTACGAGGCTTGCGCCGAATGCACCCAAATATACAAAAGTCACAAAACACTAGATACAAAAATTCAGATTTAATTATTTAATTTTTGGAAACCCATGACGGTAGTCAAACTAATCACTGTTTCATTAATACAGGGTGTTTAGAGTCTTATAGTTGAAAATTGACCCAGTAATAGAAGAGTACAGAAATACTGTAACCGAGAAAAAAAATCACACAATTGTTATTGTAAAGAATGTTATTTAACTCCAAAATATTGGTACACGGTTTGAGAGTCACTGGAATTATTTCCTTGTTCAGATAAAATTGTATTGTTGCAACAGATAAAAAAATCGTATCCATGACAATGAAAGAGAAAAGTCACTTCATAGTTTTGACACTGTCATCTTTTGTTTTGTTTTTGCTTTAGTTTTTATCAAAATTCGAAGATCTTCTGTTTAATCTCTTTCAGCGAATGGTTTCCAATAGGTTTGATTCGTTTTTCTTAATTTTTCTCCAAATTTATTTATGGCTAAATATTAAAATAATAAATTGGTTGTCGTGATTATGATTTACGGTGAAACACAAGGTAATGATACTAATGGCCATTGTTGCAGTCGAAACAGCAGTTCTCAAACAAATAGTGTAAAATTAATAATTTCCTTTAACAACGTGAATTTTTGTTTTATACAGGGTGCGCCAGAACTCGCGCCCCAGAGAAAAATGCCATATAAGGTGCGATACCAAGAACATGGAAAAAATGTTAAAAAAGTTTTATCTATAAAAATTTCGAAGTTATGAGGGTTTAAAGTTTACACTTTGACTTTATTTATTTCTGTTGGAATAATAATTTTCCAAGTTTTTTTGCTATAGGCTTTTAGTAGAGAAAACAAGGAAGTTGTATCCTACATTTGTAATTCTGTTTAATGTTATTTGTGACTTTTATTGTCAAAATTTTTGTCTCTTTACTAAATAAATGCAAAAAAACATATACAAGATCATCAGTATCATTAAATAGATATAAAAAATGTCAAATGTCAAAAAATAAATGTCAGACAGTTTTTTTTAAACATTTTATTCATGTTCCTGGTATCTTACCCTACTTGAAATTTTTTTCTGGGGCGCGAGTACTGGCGCATCCTGTATAGCGTATTAATATTCTTCTACCGTAAATATCCTCTCATTTAAGTTTCAACCTCAAGACCGTAAACACCCTGTATAGTCATAAACTGAAGTTTTTCATTTGTTCTATCAAGAGACGGCATGAATATGATTCTATTTTATCTATCTTAATCACTAACTAAAAATGTTGTAATTTTTGAAAGGGTGAACAAACTATAGAGAAGGTAATCCCAATTTTTCAAAATTTGTAATCGAGTTCGTATTGGAATATGTATTATTGATTGCATCTTATTATAACTGAAAATTTGCCAAAAAACAACTGTAACAAATATAAAAAAATTTCGTGGTGTTTAAATTAAAATTCTATTAAGAGAAACGTCAAACATAAATACATATACAGAGTGATTTTAATAGTTGTGCTAAAATTTTAAGAGGTGATAGAACAGGTCTAAAGAAGTCAAAATAACTCAACTTGCCGTATCGGAATGTTGATAGTTTCTGAGATACAGAGAATGCAACCTGCATTTAGCGTAGTCGGTGACATTTGAGGTAATGAAATCCAGTAGTACCTTCTATTCCACCTATTTATTTGTTTAACTTTTTACCTTTTAATTATTTTTTTAAATATAAGACCACTCTTTTCTATGGTTCTTTTTGTTAATTTTAACGTTTTATTAAAACAATGTAATATAGACATTGAAGAAATAACATCAGAGATCATATTTGTTTATAGTTCTTGTTGATAAAGTTTAAGACTGCGCGCCAAATTTATTCGATGACTGAAACCTCAGTATTTCAGAAATTACACTGAAAGTGTTTATACAGTGCGAAATTTTGGTTTACTACTAAGACATTTAAAACTGTAAAAATACGAATACGTCATAATTTTAATTTTTAATCTAAATCTTTATTGTTAAAACAATTACAACAAAAAGCGTAGTAACAATATAATGAAAAATATTTCGAAAAGAAACATGTTATAAAATTACCGAAATTACTGTCTGTATGAAGACTTTTGTGACTCAATGTATAAACATAAGGTGAGTTATTTTTGCACCTATTACCTCTTAAAATTTATGCACAACTATTAAAATCACTCTGTATAATGTGTGTGTAGACAGTCCTTTTTAATGTTCAAATTACCCATGTCCATAATAATAAGGTTGCACTGTAGAACGTAAATCTACACTTCTCATACTTATAGTCCGGTCAAATTAGTCATAAAAATAGTGGTCAAATAACGAAAATTCCGAAAGAGCTAAATTTTGGTGGAGACCTTGGGTATACCATTAGAAATAAAGTGTCAAAAGTCCCCATCGATCCCATGTGTGCTAAAAAAGTTATTCGGGGTCAAAGGTCAATATTTGACGTTTTTTAGATTTTCTTCGAAAACGGCAAGTTTTATCAAAAAAGTAGCTCAGACGAAAATTATAGATCTTAAAATTATCTACAAAATGGTCTTTATACTTTTTTTCCAAGAATCACCATTCCTGAGAAATCGCGATTTTAAAAGTTGAAGGAGTAACGTTCTACATCATATGCACATACAGAGTGCGCCAGAACTTGCGCCCCAAAGACAAATGCCATGTAGGGTAAGGTACCAGGAACATAAAAAAAAAATTAAAAAATTCTATCTATAAAAATTTCGAAGTTATGAGAGTTTAAATTTTGCACTTTGACTCTTATTTATTTCTGTAGGATAAATAATTTTCCACGTTTTTTTGCTACAGGTTATTAGAAAAGGAAACAAAGAATTACCAAATAAATTCTTTTTAATTCTAATGGAATCGAGATATTTATAAGTTTAATGAAGTAGAAGAAAAATTTCAAGTAAAATAAGATACCAGGAACATAAAAAAAATGTTTAAAAAATTTTATCTGTCAAAAAAATTTGACATTTGTTTTTTGACATTTGACTATTTTTTATGTCTATTTAATAATACTGATGATTTTGTATATGTTTTTTACAATTATCTAGTAAAGGTACAAAAGTTTTGCCAATAAAAGCCACAAATAACATTGAACAGAGTTACAATTTAGGACACAGCTTTTTTGTTTCTTCTTCTAATGGCCTGTAGCAAAAAAACTTGGAAAATTATTTTCCCTACAGAAATAAATAGAGTCAAGTGCAAAATTTAAACTCTCATAACTTTGAAACTTTTATAGATAGATTTTTTTTTTTAATTTTTTCTATGTTTGTGGTACCTTACATGGCATTTGTCTTTGAAGCGGGAGTTCTGACGCACTCTGTATGTGCATACCATGTAGAACGTGACTCCTTCAACTTTTAGAATCGCGATATCTCAGGAATGGTGATTGTTAGAAAAAAAGTATAAGGACCATTTTGTAGATAATTTCAAGATCTATATTTTTTGTCTGGGCTACTTTTTTGATAAAATTTACCGTTTAAAAAACGTCAAATTTCGACCTTTGACCCCGAATAACTTTTTTAGCACACATGGGATCGATGGGGACTTTTGACACTTTATTCCTAATGG